ATGCCAGGCGCCGCGCTGCCGCCGCCGCCGCCGCCAGCCGGACCGCCGTCCCGCGAGCTGCGCCGCGAGCGCGCCGCGGGCGTGGGCGCGTTGTCCATCTGCAGCTGCTTCAGCTCCGCCGCAGCGCCGCCCATGCCGCGTGGCTTCCGCTTCTGCTTGCGCGTGGCGCCACCCTCCCCCTGCTCGCGTTCGCCCTCGGCCTCGTCCTCGCCGTCCCCGTCATCCTCGCCGTCTGCCTCGCTGCCGCTGGCACTGCCGCTGCCGGCACCCGTGGGGCTCGCGGCGTCCGACCGGCTTCGCTTTCGCAAGCCTGCCGTGGCTTCGTGCTGCTGCTGCTGCTGCTGCTGCTGCTGCTGCTGCTGCTGCTGCTGGTGCTGCTGCTGAGCGTCGTCGGCCTGCTGCCCGTCCCGCTGCGACGACAATGTGTCGCCGACGCTCGGCCGCGCCCGCTGCTGCGCCTGCTGCCGCCGCACGTCGCCGGCACTGGGTGGCGGAGGGACAGGCAGCTGCGCGTGGGCGCGAGCGTTGGGCTGTGTCTGCTGCTGTCGCCGCTTCTTTGGGATTGACATGCCCAGCCCGTTGCCCTCCGCCACAGCCACTGCAGCCGCCCTGTCGCTGCCCCCGGCCCCCTGGGCCGCCTGCTGCCCGTCCGGCTCGCTCCGCCGCCGCTTGGCGCCGCCCGCCGCCGCGACCGCCGCCGCGGCCGCCATGCCCTCGGCCGCGGCGGCGGCCGCGGTCGCGGTGGTGCGTGGCGGGGGCGGCGGGTGGCGAGCGGCCTCCGCGCGCGCCTCTTCATCTTCCTCCTCCTGCAGCATCCTGGCAATAGCTAGGTCGGTCGCCTCGTCCACAGACGGCCGCCCCGCCGGCGACGGCACTGCCAGCGCGACCGAGCCGCGGCGCGACGGCGGCGCCGACGGGCCCGGTGTGGCGGCGCGCGAGCGCTGCTGCTGCTTATGCTGCTGCGAGGGCATGCCAAACGCCAGGTGGAGCAGCTGGGCCCCGGTGCTGGGCGTTGGCGGGAGGACGAGCGCCGGCGGCCGCGACTGCTGTTGGGGGGGCATGTGCCCCGCAGGCGCGGGAGCAAACGCGAGCTCCAGGGCCTGGCCGGCTGCCTGCTGCTGCTGCTGTTGCAGCAGCAACAAGTGCCCTGGCGCCCCAGGAGCGGCGGCAGCCGTAGCCACAGCCGCAGCTGCCGCCTGCTGGTGCTGCTGCTGCTGCTGCTGCTGCTGCTGCAATAGCTGCTGTGACTGCAGCAGCTGGTGCTGGTGCTGCAGCAGCTGCTGGTCGTGGAGGAGCCGCTGGTGTTGCTGCAGCAGCAGCTGCTGCTGTTGCGCCTGCTGAGCCCCGGACAGCTGCTGCATTGGGGCGAAGGAAGGAAGCGCCCCCGAGTGCTGCTGTTGCAGCAGCTGCTGCGCCTGCAGGGGCTGGAGGGGCAGGATTGCCCCCTGCTGCTGCAGCAACAGCAACTGCTGGGGCGCAGCAAATTGGTGCTGCATCTGAAATGGCATGGGCTGCTGCTGGAAGTGTGGGAGCTGCGCTTGCTGCTGCTGCTGCTGCTGCTGCTGCTGCTGCTGCTGCTGCTGCGGCGGCGGTAGCGGGAGCGGAGGCAGGGCCTGCGTCTGCGCCAGCGCCTGCTGAGGTTGCTGCTGCTGTGCCGGGAAGCTCATTAGTGGCTGCGGCGGGGCCGGCTGCATCTGAGCCTGCTCCTGTACTTGTGCCTGCACTTGCAGCTGCTGTTGCTGGTGCTGCTGTTGCTGCTGCTGCAGCTGCTGCTGCAGCTGCTGCTGTTGCTGCTGCTGCAGAAGAAGGTGCTGCTTTTCTTGCTGCTGCTGCTTTTCTTGCAGCTGCTGCTGCTGAAGCTGCTGCTGCTGCTGCTGTTGCTGCTGCTGTTGCAGGTGTTCCTGCTGCTCCTGCTGCTGCTGCTGCTGCTGCTGCTGCACAAGCAGGTCCTCCTGCGCCTGCAGCTGGGCAATCTGCTGAGACGCCAGCTCCTGCGCAAGCAGCTGGCGCTGCCGCTCCGGGTCGAACGCTTCGCTGCCGCCGTACCCCATCACCGGCGGCCCCGGCAGCCGCCCCAGCCCCAGCGCGCCCTCCGGCGCCGCGGCCGCCGCCTCAAACGCCGCCCGCGCGGCATCCGCCGCGGGCCCGCCTTCGTCTGCGCCGTCGAGCAGCGCGGTCAGCCAGTCGGCGGCCGCCTGCGCCACGAAGCGCTTGACCCTCTCGCGCCGCTTGATCTGGTCGGTCAGCAGCCGCAGGTTCTCCAGCTCGTAGCGCGTGCGGTGCAGCGCGCCGCGCTCCATCTCGCGCTCCGCCAGGCCCTCCAGCGCCTCCCGCAGCGCCAGCGGCACGCCCGCCGCCGCGGCCGCCGCGCTGCCGGCCGCCAGCAGGTCTGCGTCGTCGTCGGGGGGCCCCTCCGCGGCGTGAGCGTGCGCGCTGGCACTGGCGCGGCGCGCGGCGC